ATATAAATATATCATAGCGATGACAATTGATAATTATGTTTACTACGTAGTAGTCCATAAAAAAAAGAAGAAAGGGGAGGAAGAGGTAGAAAGAGTTAAAACAAAAAAAAGGAAAAAAAAAAAAAAGAAATCAGCTGAGCTTAACACGTTTTGTGTGTCTGTCTACGTGTGTGTTCTTTTTCTTTTTATCGTTGTACATTGCCACACTTTGCGAAGGAACGAACTATGCGAACTGCATATAATACATACACATGTGTATTTATACATATTACATAGCTCCTCCACTTTTGTCAGAAATCTATTATTAAAAAGAAAAAAAAAATTGATACGCCATAATGGTACACCATAACGAACTTATACCGTTTTAATCTTACACACATTTTGCTTGTATACTCTCTATTAAAAACTAATTGCTAATTATATTACATGCACACGCATAAATACATACATACATACATACATACATACATACGTACATACAATTTATACAAAAATTCACATATAACAGTGAAAGGACATACGCTTATCTCGGGCTAAAAATATTTGACAGACGATTTACTGCTTCTATTTAAAACTGCCTTTGACGTGTTCAGAAAATGAGAAAAAGGGACACGAAATCGGCTCGATATAATATTGAAAAATAACGCACAGAAGTAAATTAAAATAGAAAAAGGAAAGAAGGAGCTACCCGAAAGAAAGAAAGAGAAAATAACAATTGTAGTCAGACCTATCGATTATCGACAGTGTGCATTGTGCAACCTTCTTGTAAAATAATTTAGTAAAGGAGTGTAAAAATGAGAATGAAAGTGTATGTGTCTGTGTGTATGCGTGAAAAAGAGAGAAAGAGAGAGAGAGAGAGAGAGAGAATGAGTGAGTGAATGAACGAGTGAGATAAATAAATCGATCAAAGAAATTTTACAACGTGTAACAAAATTGATGATATGATCTTCTAAAGAAATATCATTAACGCGTTTCTTAAATGTCTTTCGATTGAATGACAAAAATCTAAGCAGCAAGTATGTAAACCATAATGATGATGATGATGATGATGATAATGATGAAAAGGAAGAAAGGAAATAAAAATAAAAAACGAGAAAACAAAAAAACAAAAAAAACATTAAAAGGACAGAGAAAATAAAGTAATAGTTTCTAAGTCGACACATTACCGCTATTATTTATATTCATGTAACGAACGAGAAAGGATACAAACAAACAAAAATAATAAAATATCGGAAATGATGATGATTATGATGATGATGAATGTGTGTTATTGTACGTGTACACAGTGTCAGAATATCGGTCAGTCATTTATATACATATATACATATAGTTGGATTCTAATTCTAGAAAAGCGATACTGGATAATAAATAATTCGTAATTTATATTCCGGTGCAAAATCCAATCGAGAATGGATTAAGATAAACAAAAAGGAAAAAGAAGAAGAAGAAGAAGTAATTATATTAATAATGATAATTAATAATAATATTATAATTAATAATAATAATAATAATAATAATATTAATAATAATATAATGATAATTAATTAATAATTAATAATAATATTAATATTAATATTAATGATAATAATGGTAATGAAAATAATAATAAAAAAAAAAAAAAGATAAACCGAGCGAATGTGATTCCCTTAGGTCAGGTATGTTAAACGTACGATTTATGCATTCTAAATAAATAGTGTGTGCATTTAAATTCATCCGTGAAAAAATTCTTATAAATAATATACATACATGGATTCATAATTCTTCTTTTGTTTTTTATATAAATATATATAAATATATATTTTTTTTTATGGTTTTCTTTCCTTCTTTCCAAGAATAAAAATCGTATGATATTTCTATATTATACATATAAATATGAGCCAGTGATTATAAAAATGATTTAAATCATATATTATGTGTGTTTTACAATATTCATACCCCTTTTCTCCGATTTTTATTATTTACAAGCTATTATTTTTTTATAATAACAAATAGGGAAAAGTAATATGTATGTATATTTTAATTATTCAGCTTTACAGCCACGAATAAGAAGATTTGTTTTACAATCTCCTAATAACCATTTGTTTATTCATTCTTTTCATCACCACTAACACACGCATTAATAAAAACTCCATTAAAGTAAGTATATATAACATTTTTATTAAATAAAAATAAGGTTTTCTTTTTTATATATATATATGTAACTTAAAAATGTTTTATATAACGTGCTAGATAAAAATATATTTTATAAGAAAAAATCTTAGATCACTTCAATAATCACTAACGCATACACATATGTATATATGTGTTACGGTCAATGTACAGAATCCAGACATTGTATAGAATGCCCAGAAAGTTTTGGTCAATCTAGAATATGTGTTTCAGTTGGTTGTATTAAAGAACACAATATCAGGGTTTTTTTTAAGAATTCTGTCAGTGTTATATCAGAATTTTTTCATTATATACATTACCAGGATTCTGTACATTGACCGTAACTTATATATATGTGTGTATCTTTTTTGATATACGTGTTCATTGGACCAGAAATGTACTTTGTTTAACATCAAAGCATGCTTCCTTTTCACTCGATTATTATCACCTTAATAAATAATCGATACTTACCTCATTGTCTTCACGTAAAACCTTTTCTAAACACTTTTAGATTCACTAAAGGGATGATATTCTAAAAAACGAGTTTGAGAAAATAAAAAGACAAGAAATTTTTCTCTCACGTATATACACTTATAAGTATATATATATATATACAGATATATCTAACATAAGCATATAACATTTACACGTATTTCACATACGTATATAATATTATCGAGATAAAAGGTAAGAAAAATGAAAAGACATAGACGTGTTTATATACTTTGCAAATGTAACAATCATATATTTTTTTGTTTTCGTTTTTGTTTTTCTTCTTGGCCTTCGATAATTTATTTTATACAATTATTCTCAGTCGAGGATACGTTAAACTCACGTAAACTCTGGTTTTAACAAAACGAAAAGAAATAATAGTAAAAGAAAAAGATAAAGAAGAAGAAGAAAAAGAAGAAAAAGAAAAAGTAAAAGAAAGAACATTAAATAAAAATAGTAATTTACTATTGAAATCATAAGAAAAATGGTTATTAACACATTGCGTATAAAATTAGAAAATAATTTTTGATATTTTCTTATAAACACCGTATATTCGACGTCTCATCGAATAAAAATGATAATTTCATTAAATTATATTAAATTTGATGAAGAGTATGAGGAGGGGGGGGGGGAGAGTTAGTATTTAACTAACATTAGCTTTTTTTAACTTGCTTACAAATTTTCGGACTATGGATGTACGTTGTTTAACGAGCAAAACAACCCTCCCCCCTACGCAATGTGTTAATTAATGTTTTCGTAATAATACTATTAAATTGCCTATAAAAATGAATAGCAAAAAACAAAAAAGGAGAGATTGAGATAGAGAAAGTTATTGAATGAATAATACAGATAAAACGAACAGAGAATCTCGTTATCTTTCCAACGAAGTTGTCCAACGAAGAGATGATCCTTTTTTTGTTTTAAATTATTTATTTATTTTTTTTTTATTTGCTCTATTTATTTTTATTTCATTACTTTTCATTCAATTCGAATAAAATGTTTCCTAATCTACAATCGTTTGTGTGATCTAGCCCTTCGATTAAGATATCGTTAATTCGTTTGCTCCACGTTTCCTAAAAAACAAAAAAAAAAAAACAAAAAAAAATCTTTCTCGAATTAGAAATTAGGAAATTAATACAAGAGCCTTGATATCAATGCAAAAAATAATTTTAACAAGTCATGATTAAAATAAGGGCTGATTATATGTAACAACGTTAATTTTAAAAATGACATCATTTAAAATCCACCTCGTAATATTACGAGAATATGTTTATAAGTATTTAATTATACATATAATTAATTAATTTGTCAAAGTCACGATTATAAAACATGTGGACAATTTTGTATAAAAATCGTATTCATATTTTTTTGTTTTGTAAATTGAATGTTACTTATAATCTTTTAACATAAGTATTTGGCCAATGACATGAAAATCGTTTAGAATAAAATTTAAAAAAAAAAAAAAACCATGGGAATGAGAAAATTTTCGAAATATACAAAAATACAATAAATTCGTCTTTAAAATTGCACTGATCATCTAATCATCATAGAATAACTAATGTGCCTAATCTATAAACTATATTATTTTTGTTCTCACAAGGTATCCAAACGGATTAACCATGCAATGTATTTTTCTAATATAATAATTAATTATAATTAAACACCTTGGTTTATATATAGTTTCGATGAGAAACTTATACTTCGAATCATCCACCGATGAATAAGATGACAACGATGACACACACAGAGACGAATATAATAAAATATAAATAAAATTACGTTAAATTCGTCTTTTTCCAAATTGTTTATGATTTACATAAACGTATCCATGTAAATAAATTAAATCATTATCATTTCTTACATAACACGTATATATGTATGCACATAAAATGCATATCATTTGTAATCAATCTAAAAGTGTAAGAATAATGATTAATAAAACAAAAAGGTATTGACGAATAGAAAGAAAATTTATAAATGCAAATATGCAAACAAAATATGGAAAAAAGAAAAGAGAATAGAAAAAGAAGAAAAAAAAAAAAAAAGAAAAAAGTTTATATTAAAATAAACGCCTATTATTTGTTTTTATTTTTTCTCTTTCTGTGTTTTGTCATCCATACCGTAGAAGAGGTGTAAGGAAAAAGAAGGAAGTAAATGACGATGATGAAAGTGCAAAATAAGAAGATGGACGCGAAGAAGAAAAGGAGAAAAACTTAAGTACTAAAAATTATTTCTTCGTCCGAGGTAATCCAATCGCGCCCGATAATCCCCCGAGTAGTTAGTTCAAAGCACTGGTTTGTCTTTGAGTAATGCATCTATGTCCTTGAGAATATCATCGGATGCAGTATCGAGAAGAGTAAAATATTCGTCGTCGTTGATGTTTAGCAAACTATCACAGGAAAGTCTGCTAGCTTTCGAATCTTCCGTAATGGTGTCCATTAATACGGATTTGGTTTGTTCATTTTCTACATAATTATTAAACGTTTTAGATTCGTCCTCGATTCTCATGCGTTTCTCGTCCGTACTGCTATCGCATAATCGTACTTCAACTTCATTTTTTCTGCCGGTATTATTATTAGTAGAATGATCTCTCAATTTAACTCTAACGTCTAGACTATCATCGAGTCTCGATGTTAAATTTTGTTTATTCCTTTCATTATCCGCATCAATCTCGTTCATTTTGTTATCAATTCTAACAGACGTTTGATCAGACGTTAACAACAAATCGTTATCGTTGATAATAGTCGTAGGAATAATATCTTGCTGTTGTTTCTTCGAAATTACGGATTCGTTGGTTGCGATATTAATGAGATACCTTTTCGGTGATCTTCTTAATCTTACAGGTGGTACTTTGGTCAAACGTTCGGTATTATTGTCACCTAATTTAGCTTTAACTCTACGATTATTTTCATCGGATTCTGTCGTTCCTTTATCCTTTTCTAAAGCTCTCTTAATGCCTCTATTAATCGGTAACGTAACGTCGGATGATATTCGAAGAATAGTTAAAGAGGTTTCAGTAGGATTCTTCGAAAGATCATTGGTTGGAGGAGGAGGAGGAGGAAGAGTCCTTTCATCGAACAATTTTGACAGATCAGATTTGACGTTTTCCAACAATTCAACGCCTTGTTTCAAAGTTTTATGTTTCTTGCGTCTACGTATTTCCTCCAACGATAAAATTGTAAAGTTCAATTCATTGGTATTATTATCTTTCTTATTATTATTATTAATAATCTTCATTTTCTTCTTTTCTGGCATCATTGATTCGTCTTCCTCGTGGTTATTATCTTCTTCTTTTTTATTCTCAATAGTTCCAACAGTTGTTTCATCAACTCGAAGTTTTCTTCGGATACCTCGAGTTGCTAAAATCCGTTTGTTCGTTGTTATATTATTAAAAACAACCTTAGGAGGATATTGATTGTTCATCCTCGAACAATACTTTTTCAATGAATGTTCAGCAACACCTTGACTATCCTCATCGTTATACGAATAATAAGCCGCACTTTCCGCTTGTATCTCCTCTAGTCTGATCTCCTCGTAGGTCTTGCAGTAGGGCACCCTTGGTTGTGGCTGCGTCTTTACCGGCGAGGGAACGCTTTCATTGTCCGATTCTGGAAGAAAGAATATGAAAGAACGACAGTGTTGTAGTACTTTAAACTTCATTTGTCAATAAAGGGCCGCGTCGTTTCGTTTTTTTCTCTCATTTTTTGTAGGTTTTTGTAGGTCTCATATGACTTTTTTCTATTTAATTATTTACTTTTTAAATATATGATATATATATATATACATGTACGTATGTAGATAAGTAGTAGTATATGTCCATCTTTAAGATGCCATTTTTACTTCTTACTTTTTTTTTTTTTTTTCAATATCTTCTCCCCACCATTTTGGGTGCTTAACAGATTCTTAAGGATATTTCCCACCTTTCTTTTCTTTTTTTTTTTGTCATTCCCATTTATTTTTGTTCAATTTCTTTATACTCTATATATTACACAATTTGTTTCTACTTATTCATTTATATTTATTTTTGTTTGTTGGATTTGTTTGTTTATTTTCTTTGGCATGCGTCTCCAACCAATCTTTCCTCTCGCGATTGTTTCTTTTTCGTTTCTTCTAAATCTTCCATTAGATTCGAGATAAATTGTTATCGTATGATTTTGATAATATAAGGGATGCTTTATTATTCATTTTTTTTTTGTTTATTTTTCGTTAAAGGGGACTTCGACTGTAGCCACTCTCTTCGTCGCTTCGATACTATTTTGATATTTTTCAATAAAGCTTTTCCCATTAGAATTTTCTTTAACTTTTTCTTATATTATTTATACTTTGCATTTTTTGTTTTTTTTTTCTGTCAAGACAGAGAGATCCTCGAAGAGTAAACAACGAAGAGCCAATCACCGTATCCGCCTCTCCTTTTGGTCAGCCATTCTCCTCGTCGGCCATTTTTAGAGTTTTTTTTTATTTTAATATTTATATAACATATATATATATATATACATATTTATTATATATAGCATTATTAAATATTATTATTATATATTTTCAGACCCTTGTTTGCGCTGCCAGTGATTTATTGGCATTAGCTTTGAATATATTAATATTTGTTATTCCTTTTATTTATTATAATGTTTCTAAATAATTCGATTTATATATTATTTATTTCGTCCGTTTCTCCTTTTCTAAT